CGCTATGGGAATTATGCGGCAGGCGGGGCTTTCCTTTTTCTTCCTCGGGTTTGCAAGCGGGTCGCATCTGCTGGCAGAGGTTCTTCCAATATTGCCAAGGGCTGGAGGCCCCTGTCCGGCGTCGGGGCAGGCTGCGCCAGGCGTCTGCTCCATGGGCAGTGGCTCAACGGAAATACCTGTGCTGTAGGGCCAATCTCGGCTTCGGTGTGCTCGCTCTGCCCAGTCAAGATCGGCCGAGTGGCGACGAGCGTGGCCAGGCCTCGGCCTGTGCGCCGAGATGGGTTGCTTGCGGATTGCTTGTGCAGCCTGCACAGTGGTGGCGCCTCCTCCTAGAGGCGAGGCGGTCGATCCCGGACCTCGCTCAGCCGCCAGGGCCCTCGCCGCTCCCATGGCGGGGATTTTCCAGTCCATCGACGGTGGGGAGCTGCTGGCGCTCGTCAATCTTCTCAAGCACTCGCTGCCGCCAGTTGTCGCTCATGTGGATGCGGAGCACGTGGTCAAAGGATGTCAGCGAGTGCGGCCCTGACGCCACTGCTAGCAGCAAGCCAGCATTGGCGGAGCTTTGTTTTCGCATCTGGCACGCGGTCCAAGACTTTGGGTGGTCTCGGAGCTGATGCGCTCGCTACGGTCAACGTCAAGGCTCGCGCAGCTGTTCGCCACGTGCAAGAGGGGCCAGTGTCGGCCCGAGCGTGTCGTGACAATCTTGAAGTTGACCGTTGTGTCAAGTTTTCGGCTGCTCAGGCCAGTGCTCCTGGCGATGTTCGGCAAGTCATCCAGGCGCGCCAGACCATGCTCGACGCGGCTGTCTTGGTGGTTTCGGTCGCAGGGATCATGGCTGCAGGGGGCAGTCTGGGGATCTCTGCGGAAACGTGCCCTCGTCGTGAGCCCAGACCGAGTTGCTGCTGACCAGCCATGCGGTCATCGAGGCCCCCATGGTGGCATTCGGTGTTCGTGGTGCCTCAAGACGGCTTGCAGAAGCCGCGCCAAGGCGCACTTCTGGGGCAAGCCCTGCGTTCCTTGCCCGCATGCGCCGCCTCTCTCTACATAGAGGGTCGTTTCTCAAGCGACCAGCCCGTGCAGCGTTGATTTTGGCTGCCACGCCGGCGGCGGCCTTCGCGGCCTTCTCTGGCACTGTGGCTCAGGGTTCGCGGCAGGGTACCGCGCAGACCGACGTGGCGCACAAGTCCAAGAGCGCGAGGTCCGCCAAGCAGAAGGCCGACTTCTTTTTGGCGGAGCAACGCTGTGAGTTCGCCTTGCTTGAAACATTTCGCGTTGTCGACGGGTGAGGCTTCTGTGGGCCCCGTTGCGAGACCCACTTTGGTCCCTTCGTCCGAGGCTTCCAGTGGCTCCGCTGCGAAGGCCCATTCGGACCTCTCGGCTGAGGCTCTTGCGGGCCCCGTTGCGAAAAATCAGGTAGCGCTCCTGACAACGGTCATGCGCAGGTGATTGTGCGGGGGCTTCAGTCAGCGTTGTCCACAGGTGATGGCACTGGAATGCCAGTGGTGCCAGGCGGCGAGCACTCTCTCGCTGCAGTGCACTGATCTCGTGTTTGCACGAGATGTTAGCGACCGGAGGTAAGCATCGTGGCTCGACTTGCCTGCCCCCTGAGACGGCCAATGGGTTGCACCACCGTCTCGACAAGATCGAGCGGATTCGTGCAGGGCTCCCGCCAAAGCCGCCGCCGAAGGCGAAGGCTAAACACCAGGGGCGCTGAGCTGGGGCTCCTGCTCGGGTGGCGGCGTGTTTGAACTTTTGGCTCGTTCGCTCCTTTGTCACGCGGTGCCCCGTTTTTCAAGCTTTAGCCTGCCGCCAGCGCCCTCGGCGACCGCCTGCCGTGCGGTTGCTAGAACCTGAGCTCGTGCCGCGCGAGCCTGGCCACAGCTAAGTATACCAGAAAAGAGGCCCCAGTGACAGGGTCCGCATGCAGTTCCACTTATATTTCGGTGCGCCCCTCATACGTTTCGTGGCCCCATAGGGTACTCCACCGGAGGCCCCAGTGGCAGGGTCCGCTTGTAGATCCACTTCCATGTCGGCGCACCCCTCACAAGCTTCGTGGCTCCATATGGTGCTTCACCGACGGCCCCAGAGGCAGGATCCGCATGCAGTTCCACCTCCATGTCGGCGCACCCCTCAAACGGTTCGTGTTCCCATAGGGTGTTCCAACGAAGGCCCCAGTTGCAAGGTCCGCGCGCAGTTCCACTTCCATTTCGGCGTGCCCCTCACACTTTTCGTGGTGCTCCACCGGAGGCCCCAGTGGCAGGTTCCGCGCGCAGTTCCACTTCCATTTCTGCGCACCCCTCACACGCTTCGTGGCCCGAGTTGGTGCTCCATCGACGGCCCTAGTGGCAGGATCCGCATGCAGTTCCACTTCCAAGCCCGCGCTCCCCTCAAACGTTTCAGTTGCAAGGTCCGCATGCAATTCCACCCCCAATCCGGCGTACCCCTCACACTTTCCGTGGCCCCATAATGTGCTCCACCGAAGGCCCCAGTGGCAGGGTCCGCATGCAGCTCCACCTCCATGTCGGCACCCCTCTTACGCTTCGTGGTCCCAGTTGGTGCTTCACCGAAGGGTCCAGTGGCAGGGTCCGCGCGCAGTTCCACGTCCATTTCGGCGCACCCCTCACACGCTTCGTGGCCCCATAGCGTGCTCTACCGAAGTCCCTAGTGGCAGTGTCCGCATGCAGTTCCACCTCCAGGTCGGCGTACCCCCACACGTTTCGTGACCCCGTAGCGTGCTTCACCGAAGGCCCCAGGGGCAGGGTCCGCATGCAGCTCCACCTCCATGTCGGCGCACCCCTCAAACGTTTGGTGGCCCCATAAGGTGTTCCATCGAAGGCCCAGTGGCAGGGCCCGCATGCAGTTCCACCTCTATGTCGGCGCACCCCTCTTCGGCTTCGTGGCCCCAGTTGGTGCTCCACTGAAGGCCCCAGTTGCAGGGTCCGCGCGCAGTTCCACTTCCATGTCGGCGCACCACTCACACGTTTCGTGGCCCCACAGCGTGCTCCACCGAAGGCCCTAGCGGCAGGGTCTGCATGCAGCTCCACTTCCATGTTGGCGCACCCCTCTTACGTTTCGTGGCCCCATAAGGTGTTCCACCGAAGGCCCCAGTGGCAGGGTCCGCATGCAGCTACACCTCCATGTCGGCGCACCCCTCTTACGCTTCGTGGCCCCATAAGGTGTTCCACCGAAGGCCCCAGTGGCAGGGCCCGCATGCAGCTCCACCTCCATTTCGGCGCACCCCTCTTACGCTTCGTGGCCCCATAGGGAGCTCCACCGAAGGCCCCAGTGGCAGGGTCCGCATGCGGTTCCCCGCCTATTTGGGCACACCATTCACGTTTCGTGGCCCCATAGGGAGTTTCACCGAAAGCGGTACTCACAAATGCATAATGGTTGTGTCTTTCGCCAGGAAGCGCGGATTTGATTGTGCTATTACATGTGTGTGTGTGTGTGTTTGTGTGTGCGTTTTTTTCTGTGTGTGTATTGGTAGGGTTTGTAAGGGGGCGTGATGCACTTTATAATAATGTAGAAGCCCTACGAGGCATCCATGGCATTCTTCCACGCCTCAACGAGCACCATGCACGGTGGCAGATGACGACGTGCACTTATGATGGCGTACATTGGTTCCAACAAACTATGGTTTAATTTCTGTGCACGCATGCGCAATTCATGAAAAAACAATGGTTTTTTACCATAAGAATCCACACATCAGAGACCGCTGTACTAGCTAGACATGCTAACATGCTCGAGTTCATAAGATTGCGCTGCGCGGGATTCTCGTGCTCCTATTGTACGCTGTAAGCAGCACGCGTTGCCCGAACTCGCGCGGAGTGTCGCGCGGGCCACCCGCGCACGCCATCTCCTTATCAGCGCCATTCGTGGTACGGCATACGCGCTTGAGGTTGTTACCTGACAAAACCTTTTACATATATTGTGCAACACATTGGGTTCCACCACATGCCCCCGTCGTTCACTGAGTTCACGGCCTCTTGTACGAAGGACAATTTGTAGGATACGATTGGTAGCGCAATGATGAAGTTTTTCTTGTGGGTGGGTGGACGGGTTTGATGCAGAATCTCGGCAGTAGTCTTTTCTGCCGTGGGTGTTTCTTTCCCAGCTCTTCGTTATTCGGCTCGTTGCAGTTCTGTTCGTTTCTACTCGGGTCTCTTGGAATGGGCTTCGTTCTACTTTGTTTTACGCGGCCCTTTTCAGCTTTACTCGATTCTGTTCAACTTGTCTCGACGCAGTTTTCACGATGCTCACATCTAGTCGACTATACACGTCTACCCACCTTTATTCCACATTGTTTTGCTTGACCTGCGCCAGTCGGCCAGCTCGACGTTATTCTTGCCATTCGACTACTTTGTTGCGTCGCGACTGCGGTCCCGCTACCATCGCACCCGAATGCTTTATTACTGTGATGGTGATACCTGAGTACGCTGAGACTGTCACTTATCGTGCTACTCTTCTGCGCTCTACATTGCCACTGCTTTGTTGCAGTAGTTTACCATTGTTATTCCGCTGTCCTGTTTACCCTGTTGTGCCACGACTTTAATGCTGCATTCCTTTACTATTGTAGTACCATGGTGCTCTGCTACCCTGCAATGCTACGGTTCCAGCTCCGTTACTCTTCTACTCTACCGTTCCGTTTCTATTACCTAGTGTATGGTATTGGCACTTGAGAAGGTGTTATTGTATAATCATGCCATGCGCAATCGCACGGCAAGCGGAAGTTGTATCTCGCGGGGACCGGAGAGTCACTTGTTCGTAATGGCAGGGTCAGAGTTCATGCTCGAATACTTATCTTTGCCGGCCCAATTCCCGGTTGGTACAGTTCGAGCTCATCGAGGTCTAAGTTCCGTGATACCCTTCTCCGCAGTGGGCGTGTGTCTCATTTTTTGGCGTTTGGCCAGGAGTAGAACGAACAGCAGCAGCAACAGAGCAACATAGTGAGGACGAGAAATAATGATTGGAGGGCCTAGGAGTTTTGGACCTCTTCCCAGGCTCTTCGAGTCCAAGAGCGATCCCGTCAAAGATCCGCTCATTATCTGGCTCTCCGGAGGTCCTGGCTGCTCCTCCCAGCTCGCCCTCTTCGCGGAGAACGGGCCGTGCAAGGTGTCGAAGGCGCAGGGTTATTGATGTTTGTTTCTCAGTTTGAACCCATATTTTTCTCATACTGTGTCTTTCTCGATGTTCGTCCTCCCTCTTCCTCAGTCTCTCTTCGTTTCTCTTTCCTGTCTCTCTCTCTGCCTCTCCCTCTCTCTTTCTCTTGCTCTCTCTCTCTCTCTCTCTCTTTATCTTTTTCTTTCTGTTTCTCGCTCTCGCCCTCCCCCTCTTTCACTTCCTGTTTTTCTTTGCATGTTTTTGCTGTTCTCCCCCCCCCCTCTCTCATTCTTTATACAACGTATCTCTCGTTGCTGCGGCTTGAGTCGAGCCTTGTCGGTGAGAGGTCCGCGGGGAATCGTTCCAAGGTAGATATCTGTGTCTTTGTACCGCGTGGTGAAGAGTAGATCGAGGCAGGGACCATCGATGGGACCTGTGGAAAAGGCTTCCCTAGTCACCAAGTATGTGTCGATGGCAAAAGGTTCGCTCCTCGTACCTTGGCGAGGTTGGTCGGGGGCGGGCCCGTCACAGACCACCAAGTTCACCTGTGAGCGACCCCAAACGATCTTTGAAGCAATGCGCAGATTAAGCTAGACTGTTGTTTTTTTCTTCCTCCGCCTCCCCGACAAGGATGGCAAGCGCACGACGGCCAACCCGTACTCCTGGCACAGCAAGGCCAACGTGATGTGGGTAGACCAGCCCGCTGGGGTGGGCTTCTCCACCAGCATAGGCACCCACGATGAAGACGGCGTCGCAAACAACATGTATCCTTCTCCCCCGCTGGAACCTGAATCGGTGGGACGTGGGATAGTTCGAGTTTGGAGGAGGGGCTGGGTGAGAAGCTACGAGGAGGCGGCGGACGGGGATGGCTCCAAGCGCGGAGGTGTGCGATGATGCAGCGGCGGTAGGAGGGTGTGGGGCAGGATGAAGGGGGAAAGGAGGCGGCGGAGAGGAAGGAAGGGGAGGGGGGGAGGGAAGGGGGGATACGGGGGAGGGCTGGCAGGGTGGAAGGAAGGCGAGAGAGGTTGCGTGGCATTGCCGCAGATGGCTGCATGTTGCAGGGCTCCCATCGCGCGCTCCGCCAGCGCGTTCGCCGTGGGCGCACGGGACTGAACGCGGAAGTTCAGGCCGCGCAGCTTGGGATCTGAGTCGTTGTTGTCGACGAGCCGCCTCCCGCCTTCTCTGCATGGGCCGAAGAGCTGTCCTGTGGCGCAGGAGGACCAGGAGGACCAGGAGGATGCTGGATGAGGGAAACGATGATGATGAGGATGATGACGATGGTGATGATGATGGCCATGGTGATGGTGATGGCGATGCTGATAATGCTGCTGATGATGATGATGATGATGATGATGCTGCTGATGATGATGATGATGATGATGATGATGAAGCTGATGATGATGATGATGGAGATGGTGATGGGGATGGTGGTGGTGGTGGTGATGGTGATGGTGATGCTGATGATGGTGATGATTATAGTGATGATGATGATGCTGCTGATGATGATGATGCTGATGCTGCTGCTGATGCTGATGATGGTGATGGTTATGGTAATGGTAATGATGATGATTATGACGATGGTGATTGTGATTGTGATGGTGATAGTGATAGTGACGGTGATGGTGATGGCGATGGGACAGAGGAGGTCGAGCTACCCTCAAAAGCTCTGGACTCTTCGTGCAGAACGAGCATGGGTGATGATGCCGATGATGATGTTGTTGCTGATGATGATGAGTATGGTGGTGGTGCTGCTGATTCTGCTGATGATGATGAGGATGATGATGGTGGTCATGATGATGATTATGATGGTGGTGGTGTTGATTATGAGGAGGATGATGATTAGGATGCGGATGGGGATGAGGAGCAGGGTGATGATGAGGATGAGGATGAGGCTAGTGATGTTGATGATGATGCTGCTGCTGATGATGATGATGATGATGCTGATGATGATGATGATCACGATGGTGATGGTGCTGATGATGACGATGGTAATGGTGATGATGTTGCTGATGCTGCTGGTTATGCTGATGATGGTGGTGGTGATGATGACGCTGATGATGATGATGCTGATGCTGATGCTGATGCTGATGATTTTGATGCTGATGCTGGTGAGGATGGTGATGGTGGTGGTGGTGATGGTGATGGTGGTGGTGTTGGTGATGGTTATGGTGATCATGATGGTGATGACGATGCTGTTGCTGATGCTGCTGATTATGGTGATGACGATGCTGCTGATGATGATCATGATGCTGATGTGGCTGATGCTGCTACTGCTGCTGATGATGGTGATGCTGATAGTGATGCTGATGGTGATGGGAAAGACGAGGTAGAGCTACCCTCAAACACTCTAGACTCTTCGTGCGACCGTTGAGCGATGCCAGCGTCCATGCCAGAGGCCAGCTGTCTCCGCGTTTCAAGGGGACTCATCGCGGGCTTTGCCACTGGCAAGATGCCATCTGCTATCCATCGGTCGTTGTCCTCCCTTGTCCTGCTTCTGCAGATCTCATGCGATGGTGAATGTCGGGCTCCGTCGGGTCATGAACGCTGATCAGCTGGCCGAGGCACTTGGGAGACGCCCTTGGTGATTGCCCCCGTACTGAGGTATTCATGTCCTGGACGGCTGCTTTGCGTGAGTTCGTCCTTCCTGTGCGTCTCGTCTGGTTGCTATCTTCCCCGTGCGTAGCTCGAGTCCATGCGGCTTTGCCACAGTGCTTGTGGTCAAGAGCACGTGGTCGGCGAAGACGTAACCTGGTGAGCGTAGTTTCGGTCGTGAGTCCCAATTTTACTCCCTTGCCTTTTTTGTTCTGCCCGTCTGTGATCAGCGGCGTAAACATCTGCTGTAGTGTGGCTCAAACGGGCGGAGCTGAGCTGGTCGCTTCGCTTCGAGCTCATTACATAACACATAAATCTGCAGTTGACTTCTGCCTTCATTGTGGCTGCCTGTCCCTCATGCAGCTGCTGGTGAGACGTATCTGACTGCACCGTCAGTGTTGCCCACACGTGTTGGTGCTAGACTTAATCGAACTCCTTTTCAACGTTGGGTGCTGCGGCCTATAGGTTTGTTGCTGTCAGTTTATTCGCTCTGAGAAGAAGTGGAGTGCGAAAAGGTGGTCGCTGGTTCTGTGGCCTTGTTTCAGGACGGCCTGGTCGGCAGTCTGTCGAGAGTCAAGTGTTGATTGTAGCTGTTTGCAGAGCATGACCAGTGGAATGACTTACAATAGAGGAGCACCATGCGCGAATGGATGTGCTGCGGATGATCCCAGGACAACATCATGTCCGAATTCTAGACGCTTCGCGTATCCCACCAGCTTGGCTCGACAGCTGGCCCCGCCGCCCACCCCCCCCGGCCGGTCGCCGTGGTCTCCTTCCGCGCAAATCGCGGTTTAACTTGACGCTTTTTGCGCGTCTCTCCCCCGCGCCCCCGGGCGCCCTCCCGTGCCGGGGTGACCCCCCCGCGGCTGGGCTCCCGGTTCCCTCGCCAGTTCGGTGGTGCCATTCCCCACCGGTCCTGGCCTCTCTTTTCCGCGCAATTCGCGGTTCGCCTCCCTCTCGGGTGAGGGCTACTGGCGCCTGTGGTTCATCCTAGGCACCTTCGTGGTTCCCCTGCGCCGCGGCCGCGACCTCGGCTGCTGTGCCGGTGTTCACCCCCGCGCCGTCCGTCCGCGTTTGTCGCCACCCCTGGTGTGCCGACCGCGGATCGCGCTCTTGGCCGCGCTGCAGCTTGGCTGCTCTTCGCACTTGTGCATTCTGCTGCTGTTGGACCTCCTGGCCCTGGCCACCCTGGTACTTCGCAGTTTGCCAACGCTTACGTCCCCTCTGGGCACCCAATTCGACATCCGACAGTCGGTTCACTGGCTGCGGCCACCCTGGTACCTTCGCAGTTGTCGGGGGGTTTGCGCCCTTGCATCTAATTCCATGTCTGCTGCTGTCCCTGGTCGACGGTCCCCCCGCCTACCTGCAGTTTCCGACGCGTTGCATACCTGCACCTTGGCAGTACTGTTTCAGCTTACAGCCAGCCCATTCCACTCGCTGGTTCGCCGCCGAGGTGCTGCGTGAGGCTCTGTCCGCCGTTTTAGGTGTGGCTGCGCCCCGTCGCTTTAGGCGAATTCGTGGTTGCGTGCCCCGCTTCTACTGGGCTCGCCGCTGGCGCGCTCGCCTGCGGCCGCTGACTAAAGTATCCCACCAGCTTCACACCAGGCCCTGGTCCCCACGCGCCGGTCGGCTCGACCGTGTCTGGTCCCTCTGGCCTCTGCCCTGACCCTGCAATGGCCTGGCGTGGTCTCCCTGGCATTGGCCTCGCGTGGCGCCCTCGGTTCACGGGCCTTGACCAGCTCCGGCGCTTGTGCTTGCACTCCCCCGGACCCTGGTCCCCAGACACCGTCGGTTCTGCCGCGTCTGGCTCTTTCTCCGGCACTGGCGCTGTGAGCGATCTCGTCTACAGTGGCGGAGGCGCCCGTCACCTGGCCGTGCACTCTGTCCGCTTCGTGGTTCGTGTGTTCTGGCAGTCAGGCCCGCGCGTTCTGATCCGCCGCTGGCCCCTGGGACGCTGGTTCTCGCAGGAAGTGGTTCAACCTTCTTGTCCAGCCTGGCAGTCCCCTGGCGGTTCGTTCCTCGTGCCTCTGGCGCACGGTGGCGACAAGGCTTGATTCGCGTGCCTGGTGATGTCGCTCCCATGGTACTCGCAC